CTCTGGGTCCGAGTCTGGACGTGATGGCCAATGTCACTTTAGTGTCGTCTATTTTGCCGGGGGGGGTTCCAGTTCCAGTTCGAGTTCCAGTTCCAGTGGGGTACACTATGCAGAAGCCCAACAGCATGCTGAAGTGGTTTTGGCAATCTTGCAATAATACTGTGACAATGCCACGGGATTGCACACTATCACAGGACTGCCGTATGGTTACTTTTCTTTGCGATCCATGTCTCTTCTTGTGCGTTTAACTGAAGAAGCCATGTTTAAACTGAAGGCATGACGTACCTGAGGTTTGGTGCTGTGTGATGACATGGTGGCAACTTATCTTCGCAAAGGGTCTGTCCGTCTGTCTGCCTGCCTGCCTGCCTGGGCTGGCTGGCTGGCTGGCTGGCTGTCTCTCTGTCTGGCTGGCTGTCTGTCTCTGTCTCTGTCTCTGTCTGTGTCTGTGTCTGTGTCTCTGTGTCTGTGTCTGCGTCTCTGTCTCTGTCTCTGTCTCTGTCTCTGTCTCTGTCTCTGTCTGTCTGTCTCTCCTCACTCTCTCCTCTCTCTCTGCCAAGATTGCAAATATTGCGAATATTGTGAGCAATCTTCGTGGGGCAGTCCGTCGGCTAATTCAAAATGTTGTCTCGTGTTCTCCCACTTCTTCTCTTTCAATCATCAATCCATCGAACGCTATATCCATCCATCCATGAACCTATTATTCATGGCCGAGGCCGCTAGATGCCAAGGCCCAAGTCAAGCCTAAACCGCTCAGCACCAAGGGTTTGAGATGATGAACTGCACAACTTCCCCAGCAATTCCTACCAAAATCAGTTGGGAGGAGACAAGCCTAGGATGAGCTTCAATTAGTTTGACATTTGGGCTGAGGCGAGTGGCAAACACAGCCCTGAAGACATGGAGGTTGACTTATTTGCAAGGCAAACGGGCAAACTTCCCTTTGCTGGTGAAAACACATCATTTTTAAAAGGCACCACCCACCTATCTCCAGGTCACCCGTTCATGCACCCATTGGATATCTATGTCCATCTTTCTCTATCTCTACCTCCGTGTCTGTTTCTTGGTCCTTTTTGCCAAAGCTCCGCGAAGTCTATTAAGCCAGGTCAGATTGTTGCAGGTAGGGAGAAAGATACAGAGATAGAGAGGGAGAGTGACCCAACTTGTTTCACTTGCCCCAAAAATGAAAGATCAGGTAAACTAAGCGAAAGAAAGAAAGAAAAAAAGAAAGAAAGGCTCAAGCATCTCGGCTCGAGCTTCTCCACCGCCCTTGCTTGGGCACTACACGCGAACGTTCACGAAGCTCTTGAGTCCGAGATCGGTGGCCTCTGCGGGCTCTACCACCTCGAGATCTTGGTCATGGAGTGGCCCATGAAGCCTATGCAGAGAGCCTACCAGGTGTGCGCCAACACCGGCTGTCACAATTGGATATGGTGTGGGTGTGACAAGGTGCAGCAAGGCTTCACATGCCGACGATGCGGAAATGAATGGCATCGACCTTAAGAGGGATTTGCTTCGAAGAAGTTGCAGACCAAGCCAGCAGCTCAATGGCAGAGTTCCCGCTTCAACAGACCTTCTCCTCCTCCTGGGCTAGGTAGGCCAAGATCGCCCAAACCCTCCAAGCCTCAAAAGGCAGCTTCGGAGATCTTAGCACCTTGGGAAACTTTGGCTGAACAGCTCTGGGCCAAGTTGACGGAACTTGGCGTCACACCAGAGGTCAAGCCAGCTGAGCCTGACTTGAAAGATGTCCTTCAAGAGAACTTGTCCAAACTCCCCACTCCTGTTCGGGAGTTGGTTGAGATCATCACAACTCCTCCTCCTGAATCCAAACGAGAAGTGGCAGGTGGCTTGAAGCAGCAAGTTTCGGCCCTGAAAGATCTCTCACGCAAAAGCACGCCCTTCAAAACCGCCTTGATGCCACAAAGCGGGCCTTCCAAGAACTTTTGGAGGAGATGAAGTCCACCCAATCCGAGATTGAACAAGAGCAAGCCGCCTTGAATCAAACAAGTGCGTTCTACATGTCCATGGTGAATGCAGGAGCTCCACCAGCGTCCTTGCAGCCTGATGTCACTATGACAGACCCAGTACCAGAAGCTGTAGCTGGCTTTATTAGCACGCTTGGCGTAAGTCTCACACCTGAGCAAAAGGACCAGCTCCAAGTCATGTTAAAGAGACCGCAGCAGGACACCACGGAGAAAGCCAAACGCCGCAAGACCGAGGGGCCCCAAGGATGACCATCATCCAACAGCTCATTGAGGCCCAAGACGAGCCTCAAGCAGGTGTGCACTTCCTCAAGTTGGAGAAAGCGTACCTTCGCTGCGCTCAATGTCGTGCCTACGTGCTGGCACGCACCAACGAGCAAGCCTTTGAGGCCTTTGTCGGAGAGACATGCCACAGCGGACCACTACCTCCAGCCACGTGGAATGGGCACCGATCACACGTGATGATCAGGTGCGGAGCGGCTGCTGAGTGCTCCCGCTGTCTGGCTAGAGGCCGGATTGTAGAGGATGTGGTGTTCATCAGCAAGAGACTGAAAGACCCATGCCCAGCGAGCTCCCAAGATCTCCGCCGGATGTTCAGCTCGTGAGCACACAGTTGCACTGGAAAAGTCCGTGCAAAAAAAAAGAAAGAAAGAGCGAGCGAACGACCGACCGACCGAACGAACGAACGAACGACCGAGCGATCAAACAACCGAAACAGAGCGAACGACCGAAACCGAACGATCGAACGAACAAAAGAATGAAAGAGAAACAAGGAAGACAAGGAAGAGAAACCATGCGGTCTGTGGTGTGGTTTAATGCGGTCGGGGATGCAAGTGCACTGCAATACGATCCAAAGCAACGTGTCAGAGAGCGCCTGCGTCTCTGGCCCTTTACGCAAGGAGATGACACGGTCCGGCTGTGCTATGAGTTTTAGCACACGGCCAGCTCCGCGTTGACTTGCGCTGGGTTTCTCAATGGCTTCCAATTGAACAGTGAACAAGCTGAGGTTTCCTGTTTTCCCTGTTGTCCTTTGACGCCTGTGGCCCGACGAATGCGCAAGCAGCCAAAGCCCCAGCAGCAAGGACGGCCTGAGATGAAAGCTAAACCAGTGATGCCAAGATTTCAGTCTTCCGACACTGTCACGGTCAAACTATAATATGTTCTGACTGCAGTGTGATCACGCCTGAACAATTCTGGCACATGTCATCACACAGACCCAAACATTGATATGTTTATTGTTAGTGTATCAAACTGCTTGCAATTGCACTGATCGCTTCAAGCTCAAAGCAATATTGAAAAAACTAAGGAATAACATGAAAAGAAACAACACCGTATTCCACGATTGTTCATTCCTATACCGTTCCCCGCCAATTTGACCGAGGCGCAAGGCCCCTCATGGCACGCGTCTTGGTCATGGTCATGGCACCAGGAGGCTGCGGTGTTCGATACAAAAAGTGCTTCGGCGAGGGCAACAGTGACCCATCACAACCAGGGGTTTCGCACAGCAAGCTTTTGCATACAAAAAGATGCAAAAATGGAAAATGGGGCCTGAAACAAGTTCTCAGGCTCCCAACCCCTACCTCATCTCGCACGGGTACCTGAATGCTGACAGATTTGGAAGTCTTAAGACAAAAAGCAAGCCACATTACGTAATAGTATTTACAATTATGTATGTGTGTGTGTGTCTCAACTTGCTTTTGCTTCAAACATGAAATAATTGATCAGTATCACAATATGGCCTGGTTCTTTTCTCGCATGTTGTCTGCTGATTAGGACAAGGTCAACAGCCCTGAGAAAATGTCCGCCTCGCCGGCACATCAAATTACCACGTTTCAACATGTGTCCCTAGGAGCAAGGACGCTACTAGGGGCTCCTGGCCTTACAACTAGAAACAAGGACGCTACTAGGAGCAAAGGGCATCGCTACTAGGAACGTGACTCTCGCAAGGTGAGGCATGGCAACGAAAGGTCTCTCCATTGAGCAGGCTTACGAAGAAGCTCTGGGACAACGTTCGCAATGGCCTAAAAATATGTCTGACGTCCAACAAGTCACTCTGATGGTCACAGAGACAAAGCAACATCATGACTATACAGAAACCATTGCAAGTCTGGCCTGTGGGACAAAAGGCCGCAAGTTTTGGCTGAGTGAGTTTATGGCTGGATTTGAAGAGTATGCAGACCCTGCGGCAAAGACCAAACCAAGAAGCAAAACGTTGCATCAATACTATATCATCTGCAGCTACAAGAAACAAAATGAAGCACTGGCAGACTTTGTCTGACTCTCGCTACTTCCAATGGGAGACTCAAAATGTGCGTACTAACCCTTTGGATTCAGAAGGTGCCTTCTTTCTTTCCAACTTTGACACGCGGGGGGAGTGGAGCCAACTCGTTTATCCCAGTCCAACGGATCTATGGCATTTCAGCCTTTATGCAAGATGATGTGTCAGAACACATACCAGAATTGATCAGAACAAATCTCAGAACATTGTGTCAGTGCACATGTGAGGCAGCGTTTGTTAGGATAGACCGTGGATACATGTGCCCTGCCTTCTTCCAAATTGCCTTTCCGGGTGGGGCTCACTGCTCGAAGTAAAGTAGTTCTATACTGGCTTTTTTGCAAGACCACTTTTATCAAATTCAGGCCTTAGAGTGCATTGTCTCCCCAATCGCTAGCTAGTTTGGACGTGATCAAAACATCGTCTGCTGCTGCGAAGAAAGGACATTGCAGGGAATGTGTTGTCCTCCACCTATATACATCGAACGAGGAATATCTACTTTTGAGTATATGACCCGTAGTGTCAAAAAGCGTCTATTTTCTGATTCTTGAGAGAAGTCCGTAGTTACGTAGTTCTCTTGTCGCATTGTTCATTCAGCTGGTCAAATTGTCGGTCCACCTGAAGAAAGGCCAAAAGCACTGCTGATGTCCCTGGAACTAAACGGCTGGCCACGTTTTGAATCCACAGTTTGGTTGTACAGTTGCTACTTGGTGAAACACCTGCAAACAAGTCTATAACAATGCTGATCCCTAAAGAGACAAAGGCCTTTGCACCTTTACAAAGGCCTTTGCATCTTCAATTCAGCTCTCTTCACTAGCAAATGAAATGTTGCAGGCTTCTCCTAGTTGCACGAAGCCAAGCTCTGTGCTGCTATGTGCCCACGTTGAATCTGAGCACAGCACTGTTTGGGCCATCAGCTCAAGCTTCTCAAGGGTACTTGCTTTGAGGCTCATGGAGTGCAACAACTCTCACTCCTCTGTGCTTGTAGCATTGCTCTGGCAACGGCAATAGCATGAGTAAGTTGCGGCAAAATATGTTAAGTTTCCCTAAAAAGCTAGGAATCAAATCATGAGTGCGAGCGCTTCTTCAAGGAAGTTACTAGAAGCTAACTAGTAGCTAGCGGCGAACTACTCCATTACTTAATCAAATATATAAGTATTAGGAGGGCAGGAGGCCGAGCGGGCAAAAAACAAGGCCTGCTTTTTGAGCTGAGGAGTCATGTATGTTTGTTCTTACTGGGACTTGAGACTGACAAGCCCGCAGGAAGTAGACAAAGATTATGAGGGGGGGTCCTGAAAAAGCAAAAATGCTGACAGCTGTAATTGCTAAATGCTCCTGTCAAGCCAGCTCATATATGTCTTCAGCTGGGTCATTCCGAGGGATCGGGGTTGAGCCTAGGATGATCTCCGCCAAGAAGGCTGAAAGCAGTTTTCTCAAATGTCGGGCCGGGATGGCAATATACCACTCTGATTTACCTTGACGCGATCCGCGATGGATTAAATATCGTCATCAAAGCTGTGTACAGAGGCTGCAAGGGCAAGCAGTGTGCGGCAAGCACTGTTGTAGCCCTTGCTGTAAACACTGCTCCGGGCTCCTCCTGCTGCCCACACATACTTCCACTTTAGTCGAAGCCGACAAGGCCCTTCGTAAATCCAGAACATCCTCCTTGTTCTGAAGGATGCAGGAGAACAAGGACAACACAAAAAGACATCAACAGTGAAAAAACAGGAGGATCCTTTGATCCTTTGTGCCAAAGACATCTCCGGGAGTTAACTTTTCATGCCTCCATGATAGGATGCTCTGGTATTTTTGGAGTCGATTTTGCTCGCTGTGCGCATCAACAAGCATTACATCTTCACCCGAATCAAAGTCTCAATGAGATTGTGAGCTACTCTTGCGCAAGCAGCTTCTCTGCAGTGGTCTCTGCGGATCACAGTATCCGGAAGGAAGTCCTGCCAAAGTCAAAGAAACATGTGCAAAAAACAACGGCAAAAATGCTCAGCCAACACTTTGCAACCCAATTGCAGTAAAAATACACAAATCTGCACATCCTGTTGGCGAAAAAGCTGAGGAGTCACAAGCTGCCAAAAGCTGGGCGTTCTCAATGCAATTAATCGTTCTTTTAGCCGTTGAAATGGTCACTCAGACCCGGATCAGAAAAGCAAGCTCATAAAAAAATTAAGATTGATTAAGATCGAACCGTGACCGATCTTAACACATGTTTGCCAACTTTGGAACTCCATGATTCCAAAGCTCCAGAGCTGCAGTTCCAAATTCAGTGTTGCCTCGAAAAATATAGCTGGGTTTGAGTGATAAGTTAATGCGTGGCTGGGATATCAATGCTTGAACCCTATACAGCATACCAGTCGCAATTACGGTTTCATCCTCTCCGGACTGAATGGCCCGAGGCCGTCGGTGAGTTGACCTGCAAACGTCAAACGCAAGAAACCTTCAAGGATGAATGGCAATACTTGCCAAAAGGAAAAACTTTGGCAAATCAATGCATCCTCCAGCATTCTCGCTCTGCAAGAGCATCAGTGCTTGCTTGTGAGTTTGGACAAACGCCCAGAAAGCGAGATTGAGCATTTACAATTTACAGTGTCAGAAGTATCATTTATCAAGATTGCAACGATTGGTGCGGCTCTTGGAAAAAGCAGAGAAAAGGGAAAGTGGCTTTTGATGACATAAGTATATAAAGGAAATATGCTCACAGACTGTGAACTGCCGCTTCCAAGTGACTGTAACGTTGCTGCACCATGCAAATGTCTGGTTGAGACGGTCGTATACCAAGAAAAGCCACCAGAAGAAATATAGTATATATATATATATTGTGTATCAAAATATGATATAGTATAATATAATGTAATATAGTATAGTATAGTATAATATAATATAGTATAATGTAGTATGAAATAATGTAATGCAATATATAATAAAAATATAATATACTATAGTATAATATAATACAATACACTACAATATAATATAATATAATACAATATATAATATAATATAATATAATAGTTTAATGTTGTATATATATATATATATCTATATGTGTGTGTTGTCAAGCAAATAAAAGCTGGAATACAAGCTAGAAGTGAAGTGAAGTGAAGTGAAGTGA